TGGGCACCCACGGCTGCTTCGCCCCCCACTTCAAGGTGACTCGGCCAACGGCCCCCCGCCGCAAGGTGGAGATGGATGTCGTCAACAACGTGGGAAGAGCAACGGGAGAGTAGTCGGCAACGCAGGAGGTGCTCCAACAGCACCAAATGTCTTTCCTGTGTCCAACCAAGAGCTGGTGGTTTCGGCCCCCAAAGGAGTTTGCCAAATCTTCGGGACAAGACATCGGTGATGTTGTGTTGAAGTATGCTGAGGCCCAGTATGTCAAGTCTGTTTGGCCCCACCCAGTCGACTCGTCGGGGAAAAAGGGCTTGCAATATTTGCACCAATAGCAAGAAGCGGAATATCCAGAAGTTTGAGGCCGCCAGGGCTCGCGGATCGGAGGCCGACCAGGCCGTGGAGCTCGCTCTCAAACGTGCGGAGGAGGTCAACAAACCGATTATTGAGCAGAGGATTGAGGTGGCCACTTGTGGAGTTAAAGCGCGCCCTGTCGCGCCGGGAAGTGCAGGGCGTGGACGAGCATGAGGACACCTGGGCAAGCTTGGAGGCGTCCGAGACCTTTCTTGCCCAGGCCAGTTGCCATGTCGACACCGATTTCACCCCTCAGATGGCCGTTGTTGGGAACAATATCGGTGAAGCCAAGGGGAACTTCAAGGCTCATAGATACCCGGCAACAGCTCCCAAACCAGGGTTCAGCATTGCCGCCGCGCCCGTCGACGCTGCCATTGAAATCGACCCTGGCGATGCAGAGCTGCAGGCAGATTTCGCGGTTGCAGGGGGCGCGGTTTCAGTGGGCAAGGCAGCCTTCAAGCGGCTGTTGGAGCCACTTGGCTCACAAGGCAAGCGGCATCGCCAGGGGTAGTGGTCCAGCGCGGCGGCGCTTGGCCTCCTTGGCCCCGGGCCCAAGCTCGCTTGCGGATCACCAGCGGCTGTCGGGAGGTACGAGGGGGCCCGGCCCCTTGCGGCGAGGTCCCCCGTGGGCGCGCGTGATGGATCGTTTGCCTCGCGACGGCGAACGCATCGCAGTGGTCGCCGGCTCAGGCGCTAATGGAGTGGATGAAGAGTGGCGCGTGACGGCCCGGGAGTTGACGTGCCGCGGGTTCTGTGCATCCAGGGTCGCAGGGCACACTGAGCGATGCAGTAGGCTGCTGCCGCCGAGGGGTCGCCATAGCGCGAGGTCGCAGGATGATGCGCATGGGGCCCGCTGGTGGTGTTGTCGTTGTGTTGTCAAGCCGTCTAGCAGCGATGGAGTCCTGAAGGGGTCTTGCCCCTCCCGCTTACGCCTCTCTGGACATTGAGTGATTGCGGCGAAGGTCATCTTCGCCCGCCCTATCCGACAATCTGCGAAACCGTTCTACTTGTGACTTCCATCGAGATGGCTGGGGACGGCGTTGCCACCCGAGGTGGCCCTTCTCTATTTCTTGGAGCTTGGGCGGGCCGTGGGTGGACATTGTCACCACCCACCAAACCACCCCAACCCAACCCGAAGGCTCAGATTTACCCTCGATTTCCAGTGGGGGGGGGGTCGGGAAACATCGAAAAAACACATGTGGAACCCTTACCCCCCCAACCCGAAATTTGGGTCTTCGGGTTGGGTTGGGGTGGTCTGGTAGGTAGTCATATTGGGCGATTGGAACCTTTTGCCCGGCGAGCTGGGCGCGCGGCTCCAGAAACGCGGCGAGTCTGCCTGTGGACGTGGGGCCCGCGCGCGGCTCCGGGGAGCTCGATCTCGGCGCCGGCTCCTCGCCGGGCGCGCCGAGTCAGAGCCCCGAAATATCCGGGGTAACTCGGGTCAGGGCTAACTCGGGTTCGCTTTTCGGGAGTCCGAACCCGAGTCGCCCCGGACCCGAGTTACCCCGGATATTTCGGGCGTCCAGAGCCCCACATCATCAGGGGCAACTCGGGTCAGGGCTAACTCGGGTTTCTTTTTCGGGAATCCAAACCCGCGGTACCCCGGACCCGAGTTACCCCGGATAACTCGGGCGCCCAACCGAGGCCAGGCTTGCGAGGTTCTGGCCAGCGACGCCGGGCCCCTCCCAGCGGAGCGCAAGGCGTCCCAATGGCGCGGCGCGAGAGATGCGCAGTGCAGATGCGCGTGGTGCAGAAGTCCAGAAATCCGATGCGTGAGGAAAGTGGTGCGTGTGTGAGAGAGATATTTTTGGCGTGCTCTTTCTTGCATTTTGGAGTTGAGTTCGTACTTTTGCTGTGCTTGTCTATGCTCCATGTGTGCTTTGGATGTGCGTTCGTACTTTGCTTGCTTTCGTTGGTTTCATGCCCGTACTTCCGCGTTGCATATATTTCGCTTTTGCTTTTCCTTCATTTCCCCCCGGCCTTGCCCGGCTCGTTCTTTCGATCCGCGTTTACTTTGCATTCGTGCTATCCTGCGCACTTATGTTTCCATGATTTTGCCCAAGTCGAGGATCTCCCGGTTTGGCCGGCTTCGCGCCATATAGTGCAAGGCCTTGTGGGCGCGCTCTCGCCCGGGGCATCGCGGTCTCATCGTTTGCTGTCCATCGTTGCGTTGGATCTGCGCAGCCATCTCGGGCAGCTTCTCCGTCGCGACGGGTCTGCGAACTCCATAGCGTGGAGAGGTCCTGGGCCCAGTCCGCTGCTCCAAGGGGGCAGCGCTGCGCTGTAAGTTCTGCGCGCGATGCCGCCCGTGGCGGCTGGCGGCGGGGCTCGCCGGCCACCGCCCCAGCGTCGGGCCCCCATGCGTTGATCACAATCACGCGAGATTAGGGGCCGCTCCTCCTCCTCCTCCTCCTCCTCCTCCTCCTCCTCCTCCTCCTCCTCCTCCTCCTCCTCCTCCCCCTCCTCCCCCTCCTCCCCCTCCTCCCCCTCCCCCTCCTCCCCCTCCTCCGAATCCTCCTCCTCCTCGTAGCAGCCGTCCGGAAGTCAGATCAGAGCGGCGTCGGCGGCGGCGGGCGGCGTTTTTTCTATCGGGTGCGTTTTTTTTGTTTTGTTGTTTGTTTTTTCTTCCTCTCCCTTATTATTCTCTTTCTTCTCCGCCCATGGGGTGGGGGCGGGTCTGCTCGGGATTCCCCTTCAGACCCTTTGTAGGGGCAGCGTGCCCCGGACGGGCTGGAGCCGCCGCCCCCCCCGCCGACGGCGCCGCCGGATCGCGCCCCCAGGGGGCCTGCGAGTCGTCGCCCGGGCTCGACCGGGGCGTGATACGCCCCAGACAATCGGGGGGTGATACGCCCTGACACGTCGATTAAGGAATGGGCCGTTCTCGGTTCGCGAGAGGGCGTCGCGGCCGTCAGTTCTGCGGGTCCAGGTCCGTCGGTTTCGGTCCCAGGCCGTTTTCACTAAGGGGAGGTGTACTAAAGGGAGGTTTGTCCACCGCCGAGACACATGCTTTCCCTGCCTGCCAGCGCTGCATCGCAGGGCGTTCCCCGATGTCTCGGCTGCCCAGGAGCGCGAGCTGCAGTCGATGGGCCCATGGCTGCTCGAAGTCTGCTTTCCCGCAGAGTCTCGGCCCCCCGGGGGGAGCTCGCCCGACTGCCCCGCCACCTCCTTCCGTGTCGCGCCCGGCCCAGGCCTCGCTGGCCCGCCGCCCGCCGCTGGGGCCATTCAGCCACGCGCAGAGGGGGGTGGGGGGAGGGGGGAGGGCTTCTTAGAAGCACCCCTGCTTCTTAGAAGGCGCGGGCCTTATCTATAGATGCAAGGCTGGCGCCTTCTGAGAAGCAGCCTGCTTCTAAAGAAGCCCTCCCCCCTCCCCCCACTCCCTTGTGCGCGCCGCCAAGCCATGCCCTGAGCGACCCTGCCACGCGGGGCGATCTGCCGGGCGCGCACGTGGCAGGTCGGGCCGCGTTCGCGCTGCGCCGCAGCGCTGCGCGCGTCTGGAGGGGGTCCACTGCCGCGAGCGTGGCCGTCGGCTGCAGCGCGTGTTTTGAGTGGGTCTCGCGTGCGAAGTTGAGGCAATGGGCTGCGTGCGCAGGTCTTCTTTCGGTGTTGCCCAAGTGCCTCTGCCTTGTGCATGGGCTCCCTCGGCGCGGCGCAGCGCCGCCGCTTGTTGAGGCGGGCGGCGCAGTGGCTGCCGGCTGCCGTTGCGCCCTAGCCTTGCCAGATTGCTTGTTCATGCTGCCACTGTCAAGCTTCGACAGCAGTTCCCTGCTTTTCGCTGTCAAAGCAGCGAGGGCGTTTTTGTTGCGGGCTGTCGGGCCCCTGGCTCGGGAGGTCAAGGGGCGCCCCGGCGCCGTGGCGGGCCCGCCCCGAGGCTGACGGGCTAGATCTGGCTCAGCAGTTCCGCGTTAACGGGCACACTGCAGGCTTCTTAGCCCGTTCTCAAGAGCTTTCAGATATGCTCGTTGCCCGCTGGGGCCTCCGGGAAGAGGGCAGGGCGACGGGCAAGAGGTGCTTGGGCGCCGATGCCGGTGGCGGTTCTGCCAGGCGCGTGGGTGGGCGGGAGAAGAGGTTTCGGCGTGCCCTGTGGGTAACAGCCACAGTACACCTTGGGCGATGCTTAAGAAAACTCCCGTTTTCGGCCAGAGCCTTGGTTTTTCTTAACGTTTCCATGTGAATCCTAAGATTTTAATGGAAATGTCGGGTTTTTCTCCAAGTTCTGAGACCATGAATTTCTTAACCCATGATTTCTAAAGCATTTCGCAGGGTGTAAGTCTGCTTCGCGAAGCCAGTCCAGGGCTTGCCGCGGGCGGCGAGGCAAGTGCGCCGGGCGCCCGCTGACGGCCCGCAGCGTGGCCGGCGAGCGCCGCGGGCCAGAGCTATCGCGGGCTGCGGGCTCGAGGGGCGCACCGCGGCCGAGGAGGTGGAGCCGTGGCGCGACTGGTCTGCGACGCGCGCCGAGACCCTCCCCGCCATCTCCCAAGCGCCTCTTTTGAATCTTGCTGTTGCGCGGGGTGGGCGCACTTCCGCGAGGCCCCGCGGGCCGGGTTAGTTTTGCGCGGCGTTGGCTCGCGCGATGGCGGTGTCGCGCGCCTGGCGCCTCGGTCTCTGACCGAGGGCCCTCCCACCTGGCCCCCCGTCGGCGCCCTTGGGAGGTGATGATTTGGGCCGCGAGTGATCTGGCAAGCAGCAGTGCCCCCCGCCACGGGGTTCAGCTCCCCCTTTCTTTTTGGGTCGCGAGTTGGCCGCGGCCGCCCGGCGTCGCCGGCGGCCGGTTCTATTTTCCCTCGTCTTTGCGGTGCCTCCGGGCCAGGGCGGCGGCGGGCAGGTCCATGGTCGCGCGGCTGGTGCCGCGGGGGGCCGACCCCTTCAGCTCGCAAAGCGCGCCCCGCCCCGCCCGGGGCGACGACGTTGTGCCGCTCCTTGTGGTGCCTCCAGTCCTCCCGCCCCCCCCCCCCCCCCGCAGTTTACTTGTTGGTGCCCGCAGGAAGAGGGTTTGTGTTCGAGGGTCCTCCAGCGGAGCTCCCCCTCGACGCCCTCGCGTTTCAGAAGGGTGCTCGCAAGCAGCAGCCTGGCCGACGTTGCATGCGAAGGCCGTCGAGCACCTCCGCGCGACGCCCTGTCTCCAGTGGCCCTGGTGGAGGCACTCAGGCAGGAATAATGACTGTCTGCAGTATTCAACTTTCACCAGCTGGCTTCCTCTTGTTTAGCATGTGTCCTCTCTTTCCATTGTTTCCGCCGAGTCTGAAGTTTTGCTTGCAGGGGCGAGGGTTTCGGGCCGGGGGCCCTTCGACCGAACTCCCCCATCGACATTTTTACGTTTCAAAAGTCCCGCGCGTGCTGCCATGAGCCAGATAAGAGGGATCGGGTATGAATTGGGCGGGGGAATGCAGGGCGGGGGCCTGTGAAGTGGTCGGTGGCCACAGTCGAGAGACCTCGTTCTTTCCAAGGACGGACCTGCCTGGAAATCTCGACTAAAAAGGGCAGTCGCAGCTTCGAGTGCCGCTCGAGGACATCGGCGTCGTGCTGCTGAGCATCGTGCGCGTCGTCTTGTCGCAGGCCTAGAGGTTGACACCAACACCAAGATCGGCGGTGTTCCTCCACCGAGGGAAGAAGATCTTAATTTCGGTGATGGTGGTACTATTCTGGCTCCCAAGGTGGCCGAAATACTACCACCAACACCGAAATCTAGGATCACCTTCCCCCTGTGAAGGCACCCCCCTGTTTTGGTGTTGGTGCCCATTTCCAGGCCTCCAATCTCGGGGCCCCATTTGCGGCCATGTAAAGGGGCCCCTTGGGCCGTCTCGGGGCCCCGCTGGCCCGTGTTTGGGGGTGTCGGTGGGCGTCTTGGGCTATTTTGGATCCCTCCTCCCTCCTCCCTCCTCCCTCCTCGTCTTCGGCTGTCGGAGGCCCGAAACGGCGAGGACGCGAGGCGATCAAAAACAACCCGAGGCACACGGAAGAATTTGGCATTTCGGAGCTCTCTTCGGGCATATCTTGGCGGGCTCCTGGGCCGTCTGGAGGGCATCTCGGGCCGTCCTGGAATCGTTTTCACCCTGTGGCCGTCTGGGCCCACATTGGAGCCACCTCGGCCGTCGTGGGGGCGCTTCGGGATCATGTTTTGAGGCCGCATCGGGCCACCTTGGTCATCGTATGGGCAGAAGCCCTTGTCCGATTCTTTTGTCTCTCATGATATTCCGCATTGTCGGTTGGCTCGGCCGAGACGCATTGAAACCTCGCGGAAAAAAGGTTCAAACAAGTACTCCTTGGCGCGCCAACGAACTCATCTTGCATGCAACAAGGGGTCCGCGGATCGGGGGCGCCTTCGGCGAATCACCGCCGCCCCCTATCTGTTGGAAACTCTCATGCGGCCAGACGTTGGGCCGAAGCAGTCTGGCCAAACTGTTTGACTGTGTGCTGCCGCAGCTGTTGTGGAAACTCTTTGGGGGTCACTTGGGAGAGGAAGAAAGGAGAAGAAGGAGGGAGCAGAGGGAGGACGTGTGTGGGGTCGTCTTGACGGCCTCTTTAGCCGTCTTGCGGGCCTCTTGGGGGCTCTTGGGCCTAAGGGGCCGTTTTGGAGCGTCGCAAGTTCGGAAAGGTGAGAATGCTAGGTAACATCATTGGAAAACCAGCGGGAATCAACGTTTTTGGCCTTTGGAGGTTCAGTTTGAGCAGTCTCGGGGCGTGTTGAGGGCATCTTGGGCAGTCTAGGGTGCTTCGTGGACCGGCTTGGAGACATCTTGGGGCCATTTTGGACGCTCTCGGGGCCACATCTCCCGTCTTGGCGGCCATTTGTCAGGAGAGAAAAACACACAGACACAATGAATCGTCGATTCCCCAGAAACTTTGGGAAGCGGGGGGGGGGAAGACAGAAACCCAGAAGATATAGGAAAATATTGGGACAATTCTGTTATTTGTGTGTGTGTGTGTGTCTGTATTTACTTGTGTGTCCCAGGGCCCCTTCACTTTGGGCCTTCTGAGTAGCCGCCCGTGGGCCGCCTTCGGTGAAGGCCGCCGAGGGATCGGCCGCTCTCCCGGAGCTCTCCGGGTGGCAGGCCGGCCGGCCCAGAGGCCCCTGGAGAGTGGCGGAGGGGCCAGAGCATCGGGGGTGGAGAGACCTCCTACGGTAGGTTTGCGTCGTGTCGACCAGCGGCGACCCCAGCGCGGGCGTTCAATGTTGAACGCCGCCAGCGGCCCAGAATCGATCGACGTTGAACGATCGGACGTTGCGGCAGCGGCCGATCGTTCAAGGTTGAACGATCCCTGCGGTGTCAAAAACCAACGCTGGGGTCGACACGACACGAACCTGCCGTACCATGACACGCCGACGAGTGCCTCGTCCGTTTTCGGTTCTCGAGAGGGCGCCGCGGCCGTCCTTTTCCAGACCTGCGCCCGCCAGGTTTCGGCCCGAGGTCGTGATCACGGAGCCACGTTTCGCTGGAGGGGGTTCTGTCCTTCCCCGAGAGCAGCCGAGCGTCCAGCACGTCGCGCAGCCCCCTGTTGCAAACAGCAGGGGGCGGCAGATCGAAGACGCCTGCGGCGAATCACTGCTGCCCCTGCCGTTTTGTTGGGGGGAGCTCTGCTGTCGGACTATGTATCCCCCCAGCCGCTCCCGAAACTCATCGGGTAACACTGGGGGGCGGATGAGGGGAAGGATCAGGAGAGGGAGCAGGAGGAGGAGGAAGAGGACCAGAGTAAACCAAAGAGTTATCAACGATGTTGGAATTCCCCCTCCCTCCAAGCTCCCTCTTCATAGGCCCCTACAACGGTTCATTTCCATTGAGGAAACTGCCTCGTTGGAAGACAACCGTGTGAAGACCTCCAAGCATGCCAAAACATTGTTCTCAAGATTTCCACGCCACGGATCAACCTGACTGCTGCGTCCTGATGATCTGGAATCGTACCAGAACGTAATTTTTGAGACTTTAAAGCCGCGAATCAACATAATTGTTGCACCATCGTAATCCGGAGTCCTTCCAACACGCTATTTCTGGTACGTTGATCATGGGAATCCGTGAAACTCTGGAACATGTTGAAAACGCATGTGCTCGGCGCTAAGGCGAGAGCCACATTTTGAAAAGGAACCGCCCCCAATCCGCGAAACTTGTACACATGTTTGAAACGACTGTGCGCGGCGCTACGGCGGCAGCCGCATTTTGAAAAGGAACCGCCTTCAATACGTGAAACCCTGGCAATTGTTACAACGAGTGCGCGCGGCGCTAAGGCGAAAGCCACATTTTGAAAGCCACCCGTCCTCAATCCGCGAAGCTCGGTATTTTTTCAACGAGTGTGCGCAGCGCTAAGGCGAGAGCCGCTTTTCGAAAGGGAACCGCCTTTCATCCGTGAGGCTCTGGCATTTTTTGAACGAATGAGCGCGGCGCTAAGGCGAGAGCCACATTTTGAAAACGACTCGCCCTCCATCTGTGGAAACTGTTGCCAGTCTTTACGTTTCAGAGTCAGATGGTGAGGAAGTCCCTTGCGAAACGCTCGACCCGCCCTAAAAACTGGCCTCGGGGTGCGACAGGGAGAAGTTATTGATAAGGAGAAGGAATGGAGGAGGAGGAGGATGAAAAGGAGGAGGAGGAGGAAGAGGAGGAGGAGGAGAAGGAAGAGGAGCAGGAAGAGGAGGAGGAGGAGGAGGAGGAGGAGGAGGAGGAGGAGGAGGAGGAGGAGGAGCAGGAGGAGGCCTCTTGGGTCCCTCTAGGAGCCTTCTGGGAGCTTCCTGGGGGCCTCCTGGAGGCTTCTTGGGGGCCTACTTGGGCCTCTCGGGGGCCTTTGGGGGCTTGTTGGGGGCCTCTTTGGCTTTCTTGTGGCTTTCCTGGCTCGTCTGACGCCGTCGGAAGCTGTCTTGGGAGCCACTGCGGGCCGTCTTGGGCCCTGCTGAGGCGCTTCAAGGCCGTTTTGGAGGCTATATTGGGCGTCTCGCATGTCCCTTTGGCTGTTTTGGCGCCCACTCGGACCGTCACTGGGCCATCGTGGAGGCCTCTTTGGCGCTCTGGGGTCATGTCGGGGCCTCTTAGGCTTTCAGAACGCAGAAAAGTCCCAGATGCCCAAATCCTTCACTGAGGAGAATGATTGATTTGGGCCTCGTGGGGCTTTCCTGGAGAACCTCTTGGACCGCGTTGGAGGCCTCTTGGGGGCCTCATGAGGGCCTCTTGGGGGCCTCTTGGGGGCCGCCTTGGGCCATCTTGAGTGCATTTTGGGGCGTCCTGGGTGCATCTTGTCATCTTGGGGCCACCTTCGGCTTCTGTTGGACCTTCCTGGCCGTCCTGGAGGCGTCGTGGGACCATCTTGGAGGCCATCTTGGGCCACCTTTGCCGTGCTGGAGGCGCTTTGGCCAATGCTGGGTGGGTGTTCCCTGGCTTTCCGGTGGTCTGGCGGGCTAGGCCGAGACCCCACGGGGCGTTCTCTGGAAAAGAACAACAAAATTGCCAGACGATTCGCACGCCGTGCACCGCTGTTGCAAGACCACAGGTCGGGGGCTCCCAAACGGGGTGGTGACCACACCGTGTGGTGAGTCGGTGGGGATTCGGGGTCACCGCACGGTTTTGGGACTTGGGTCGTTCTCCGAGGATGTCTCGGGCGACTGGAGCCTCCAGGGTCCCAAAACCGTGTGGTGACGGACCGTGCGGTGAGGTCTTTGCGGATTTCGAGGTCACCGCCGGGTCTGTCACCACACGTTTTTTGGACACCCAAACAGAAAAGCAAAATTGCCAGACGATTTGCACGCCGTGCACCGCTGTTGCAAGACCACAGGAGGCGGCGGATGACTGAACGCGCGCGTAGCTCCGCGAACCGTTGGCAGGGAGACAACACAAGGGGGAGTGTGAGGGGTTTGGCTTCGGCGGGCCCAGGCAACGGAAAGAGCGAGGCACGAGTGATGACGTTCCAGTGTGGGGCGAAGCCCTTCAGGGCGGGGTCCAGGGGAGGGGCGAGGCCCAGACGCAGGGTTGGTAATGGCCGTTTTTGGGTTTCCCCTCGGGTTTTGTATAATTGTCGGGTTCTCCCTTCTTCCGTCCCAGAAGAGCCCAAGACCGCCCAAGACAGCCCCAAGACGTCCCAAGAGGCCTCCAAGACGCCCCAAGAGGCGCCCAAGAGGCGTCCCAAGAGGGCCCCACGAGGTTAAAGTATTGATTCCCTATGGGAAAACGTGCATTTTTAGCGCATTCGGCTTTTCGGCTTCCACGGGGCGTTAAGGACGGCCCAAGAG